CTCTATTCTAGTTGTTGTTGTGCTTTCTATTGTATGTTATTTCTTACTGTTGCACTTAATTATACTGTCTTATTCTCCACTGTTATACCTTGTATTTCATTTAATCTCAGTAGGGCCCCGACTTTCCTCGTCACTACCCGACCGAGGTTAGGCCTGGCACTTACTGAGTACCGTTGTGGTGTACTCATGCCCTTTCAGTGCATGTTTTTCATGTGCAGATCTAGATACTTCCACTCAGTCTTATCATCCTTGAGGTGAGGCACTTCTATCTTCTGTAATAGTATATCCCTTCTGTATTTTCCCTTTGTTAGACATTTCTGGATTTAGAGCTTCTTATGTATCTCTTAGCTTGTGATTCATGGGGTTCCGGATTTTGGGAAGTATTAGGTTCAATTCTATTCTTGTACAGTTATATGCCAGACGGCATCTTAAATTCTATTTCAGTGGTTATTTCGATTTTAAATTATTTTCTTTCTGCAAATTATTCTTTTCCCGCATTTGTTAGGCTTACCAAGTCCGCATACTTCATTCCTGTGTGTACTACCTATTCTTTAGAGCGGTTAGCGGAGATTTGTATCCGGGAGATTGTTCGTCTGCATGGTATTCCAGTTTCCATCATTTCGGATAGACGTACTCAGTTCACATCACGGTTCTGGAGGGTCGTACATCATGAGTTAGGTACTTGGGTAGAGTTGAGCATAACATTTCACCCCCAGACGGACGGACAGACGTACTATTCAGACTCTTGAGGATATGCTACATGTGTGTGTGATTGAGTTTGGAGGGTCTTGGGATCAGTTCTTGCCATTGGCGGAGTTTGCCTACAATAAGAGCCATCAGTCCAGCATTCAGATGGCACCGTTTGAGGCTTGATATGGTAGGCGGTGTAGATCCCAGGTGGGTTGGTTTGAGCCGGGTGAGGCTAGATTATTGGGAACAAGCTTGGATCAGGATGCTTTGGAGAAGGTTAAGGTGATTCAGGATAGACTCCGTATAGCGCAGTCTAGATAGAAGCGTTACACAGACCGGATGGTTCGTGATGTTTCCTATGTGGTTGGAGAGCGGGTTCTGCTTCGGGTTTCACCTATGAAGGTCGTTATGAGATTTGGGAAGAAAGGGAAGTTAAGTCCGAGATTTATTGGCCCTTTTGAGATATTGAGGTATGTTGGGAAGGTTGCTTATGAGCTTGCCTTACCTCCCAGCTTGGTAGGAGTTCATCCGGTATTTTATGTTTCGATGCTCCGGAGGTATCACGATGATCCATCGCACGTGTTGGATTTTAGATCAGCCCAGTTGGACAAAGATCTATTTTATGTTGAGGAGTCAGTGGCAATATTGGACAGGCAGGTTAGAAAGCTGAGGTCAAAGAACATTGCATCAGTGAAGGTTCAGTGGCGGGGTCAGCCGGTCGAGGAGGCGACCTAGGAGACCGAGCAGGATATGTGCAGTCGTTACCCTCATCTTTTCACTACTTCAGGTATGTCTCTATGCTCGTTTGAGGATGAACAAATGTTTAAGTGTGGGAGGATGAAACGACCCGGCCAGTCATTTTAAGAATTTCCACCCTGATCCCCTATTAACTGCTTTCCCCATGTTTATTTCTACTATTTTGATTTGTCGGGATGTTCGGTTTAGAGTTTTGGGACACTTAGTCCCTAAATGAAAGTTTAAGTGTTAGAAATTTGACTGTAGTCAGAGCAGTGTGAAGCCGACCTCGGAATGGAATTCCGTTGGTTCCAATAGCTCTGTTGGGTGATTTCGGGCTTAGGGGCATGTTCCGATTGTTTTTTGGAGGCCCGTAGCTAATTTAGGCTTGAAATGCCGAAAGTTGAATTTTTGAAGTTTACGGTTCGGTAGTGAAATTTTGATATGGGGGTCGGAATGGAATTCCGGAAATTGGAGTAGCTCCGTAGTGTTGAACGTGACGTGTGTGAAAAATTTCAGGTCATTTGGACAAGGTTTTATAGACTTTTTGATCAAAAGCATAATTTGAGAGTTTTTGCAGTTCTTAGGTTTGGATCTGAAGCTAAATTGGTATTTTGATGTTATTTTGAGCATTCCGAAGGTTGGAACAAGTTTGAATGATGTTTTAGGATTGGTTGGCATGTTTGGTTGAGGTCCCGGGGGCCTCAGGTGTGTTTCGGGTGGTTAAACGGATCATTTCATGTTGGGAAAAGTTGCAGATTTTGCTTCAGGTCTGTTGCAGACATTTTGTTCTTCGCGATCGCATATAAGGGGCCGCGATTGCGTAGGCTATTTGAGGGAAGGGGCAGAGTTGTTCTACGCGATCGCGTGAGTCAGGTTGTGATCGCTTGAGTCTGTGTGATATAACTTTGCGATCACGTGAGTCATTGTTGCGATCGCATGAGTCTGAGTGGTATGGCTTCGCGATCGCGTGGAGCGTGTCGGATCGTGTAAGGTAAGTTGAGGGGCAGTCCATTTTTGTGCTTCGCGATCGCGAGGCTAATTCCACGATCGCAATGAAGGAAATACCTGGGCAGAACATAAAGTTCAAAATCGAGGGTTTTGAGTTCATATCACAAAATTGAATTGGGAGCTCGGTAGGAGACGAATTTTGGAGAGATTTTCGGAGGGAGTTTGTTGGTAACGATTCTTAACTCCTTTTTGATTATAACCCATTAATCTAAATATGAATTTGTCATTTAATTTCGAAATTTGTATGAAAAATTGGGGGAAAGTTCTTCGACCTAAATTTCGAGTTTTGTTTGGGGAATTGACATTGGAATTGGATAATTTTGGTATGGTTAGACTCGTGAGAGTATGAAGATTTTTAAAATGTAAATTTTACCCGATTCTGAGACGTGGGCCCGAAGGGCATTTTGGTTATTTTACCTAATTTCGTGTGTTAGCTTCGAATTTATTTATAGAATCAGTCACTTGAAATATTATTTACATTATGCAATGGAATTGAGTAGATTTGGGCTATTTAGAGTCGAGTACTCGTGGCAAGAATGTGGTTTCGGGTTAATTTTAAGCTGGTTCGAGGTAAGTGGCTTGTCTAACCTTGTGTGGGGGACTTCCCCATAGGTTTTGGTATTGTTGATATTTGAAATGCCTTGTACGTGAGGTGACGAGTGTGTACTTGTGCTAATTATTGAAAATCCGGTTTTCACTAAGTAATTAAGATTGAGTTTCTTCTCATGTTATTACTACTTGCAATTTAAACCTGTTGTTAGCTTAGGGAAGCATGTTTAAGTGACTTAATTTCTTTATTTGCTCAAACTGCTTTACCTAAATTCTGTGCGGCATGCTAGGCTAGAATTTCCTGTTTGCCTTGATATGAAATTGACATTTGTTGAATATTCTTCATGTTGCTGTTGTGTATTTACATTTGGGACTACGGATGTGGGATTCCGGTAGATCCCCCCACCTTGTCTGTTTATTTGGGACTACGGATGTGGGATTCCAGTAGATCCCTCTGCACAGTTATATGGAACTACGGGACAACACCCGATAGATTCCCCTAGTACTAGGTATTTATATTTGGGACTACAGATCGGGATTCTGGTAGATCCCCGCGCACTGTTAGTTGGACTACGGGACGAGATCCCAGGAGATCCTTCGGATATATATGATGGACTACGGGACGGTATCTGGGGAGATCCACTGGATAGTTGTATTTGGGACTACAGGACGGTATCATGGAAGGTACCTTGGTTGTTATCTCTGTGTTGAGCTGTATTTCCTTTCCGTGATTATTTTATCTCTGTTCTAGTTATTGTTGTTCTTTCTATTCTATGTTATTTCTTACTGCTGTACTTAATTATACTGTCTTATTCTACACTGTTATACCTTGTATTTCATTTAATCTCAGTAGGGCCCTGACTTTCCTCGTCACTACCCGACCGAGGTTAGGCTTGGCACTTACTGAGTACCGCTGTGGTGTACTCATGCCATTTCTGTGCATGTTTTTCATGTGCAAATCTAGGTACTTCCACACAGTCTTATCATCCTTTAGGCGAGGCGCTTCTGTAGAGACTTCGAGGTATATCTGCCGCGTCCGCAGACCGAGGAGTCCCTTTCTATCTTCTGTAATAGTATAGCCCTTCTCTATTTTCCTTTTGTTAGACATTTCTGGAGTTAGAGCTTCTTATGTATCTCTTAGGTTGTGATTCATAGGGTTCCGGATTTTGGGAAGTATTAGGTTGAGATTCTTGTACTGTTATATGTCAGGCAGCATCTTAAACGCTATTTCAGTAGTTATTTTGATTTTATATTATTTTCTTTCCGCAACTATTCTTTTCCCGCATTTGTTAGGCTTACCTAGTCGTAGAGACTAGGTGTCGTTACGATAGTTCACGGAGGGCGAACTGGGATCGTGACAGATATTTATGCTCAAAATGGGTACTAAGTATAATTTTCATTTGGTAGCTATAAAGAAAGGCTCAATTGATCCAAAGATAGCCTAATTCATTTTCCAAAATCAGCATTTTTCTAGGATTTCCCCTTGACTAACAATAGAGGCAAGTTCTAGTCATTGAATATATTGATTTGAGCATGCCTTGATTTTCTTTAAACAGTCAAAATTGCATCACAGTAGAAAACTTACATCAGCAAAAATGGAGGCATAAAATTAGAAGTCTTCATTGTACTATGAACCTGAAATATTTTGATATGTTGCCAAGAAATGAGCATATGTTATTCATGTGCAAATTATTCTGAAAATTCTTTTTTTTTAATTTATAAAATTAAGCAAAAGTGTACTACAATGACATATTTTTTCCCGTAAAGTACTAAAATAATGTAAAGACAAGAAAATAAGTCATTTTAGTTGTAAATGTGTAAAGTACCATAATAACTTACATTAAACTTTCATTCAAGGTTTTATTACAACCAACAGGTTAGACTATGTACAAGCTATTACCATAGCTATCAAAATGATGTTACCTGTTGCAACCTTCTTTTCATACTAACATGAAAACATAAACCAACAGGTTAATCTCATGGCTAGTACAACAAAAATTTAGTACATGTTGCTATAGCACCAAACTATCAACCTTAAATCTGCCATTTCATGGCCTGTTTACACACAAAAAAGGCACATATCAGCATGACAAAGCACTCCATTCTATCATCCAGCAAAAAGCATTAAAGAAGAAAAAAAAATTCTAAAGTTTTGTTGAAAAAAAACTTTTTTCTTCTTCCAGTGCACAAAAACACAAACATCCACCAACAGGTTCCTCCAAACCAGTAAAGAGAAGCTAGTCAACAACTCCAAAATTATTATAGAGAAAATATAGCCAAAAAATTACAATCTCCCACACCTAAATTATTCATTCTCCTGAATGAACAATTTGTTGTTCCCTTCTTAATTTTCATGACCATTACCTTGAAAGAGATCAAGGTATGTATTGACATCAAAGCCATTTTCTTGTTGAATAGGAACCAATGAACCTCCAGTTGTAGCAACTCCATGGTTAGCTTCCAGATTAGAGAAAACAGAAAGAGGCTGACTACTAAATGTCATCGGACTTGGTGTAGATCCACTTTCCCTGTTTAAATCCATCATTGTTATGGGAAGTGGTGTTGGTACAGATACAGGTATTCCCTGATAGAAATTTACACCTGCAACATTAAGGCTACCACCACCTGGAACAGTAAAATGAGGGAAAAAACTAAGAATATCAAAACTTCTCATAATGTTAGCAATATTGCACATCACAGTTCCCATTGTGTAGATTATGGGAGGGTATATGCAAATTGATTTTGCAAAGTTTGGCATATGAGATTATGAGTATTCTAGCTTCCGTTAATTTTTTATGATATGTTCAACATGTGTTGACAATACTGCTTCACGCACTGCTTGTTCACTTTTGAAAATCTCCCAACTGTTCATCAATTCAGTCTGCCTTTGTAACAATTCTTGCATACTAACCAGAATATCAGGAACGAGGATGGTAGGCGTGGTTCCAACTTCTGAATTAAGAGGTTGTTCTGGCTCATTCTCTGCTTGGTCTCTACTATCAACAAGCATTTGTTCCTGTTCAACTTGATTTGGACCAGTAGGAGGTCTCAAGCTATGGAGAAAGTGACTACCGATGAAGTAGGAATTTTCAGTCTTTGGTAAACCACTCAAATCCACATCAAATAAGTAAGCCAAATGAGTGATAGTTAAAGAAAAATACAAACATTCACAATCAAGCTTAATCCAATAATTAACCATAGCATCACTAATCAATCTCCCCACATTCACAGACAATTCATGCATAATCGCATATATCAAAAGAACTCTTTCTATATTGTAGTTCGAGGTATTCAACTATGGGATTAAGTGAGAACTGACGAATCTACCCCAAGCTCTTGCTAATTCAAGCATACATGAACAGTTAATACTCAAAGGGCGTTCAGCAGTTCCCGAGTAAACTTTAACACCATTAGGACACAACTCGTCCAACACATGTCTTATAAAATCTACATCCCGATCATCCATAAATTTCTTGGTTTCACTATCATTAGTGTTTCTCAAGTTAAAAATATCATTTATAAATTCAGCATCAAAGCGAATAATTTTACCTCTCACGGTTGAAGTACGACTTACTAGATTAAGATTAATATAGAACTCCACAACTATGTTTCGATTGTAATCTCTCGGGCACTGAACAAAAGACCTCCACCCAAAAGCAGTGATTGTTTGTAAGATTTCTTATGCCTTCTGACCATCAGAAGGGAAAAGAAACATCTCATATTATTCAGCCACTATCCAATTTGCCACTCTAAATTTCCATGAATCCGGGTGAAGGATTTTCCTGCTAGAATTATTGAAATTATTTAAAAGAGTTACTTATGCAAGATTCTTTTTTTTCCTTTTCAGGTGAAAATCAAGTGTTTAACCAGATTGGTATATTTGAAAAATTGAACAGAGAAGAAACAAAGGGGTGCAAAGATAGTGAAATTCATTGAAGATAAGAAAAAGAGAAGAAAGAAATTCATTTTTTTTAGGTGATAGCCATGGCTAAGAAATTACACAGATGGGTGATGAGTACTGTACAATGGTGGTTGGGGGTTGAAGCAAGAGAAGCGAAGGATTTTTTCTTTGCTGTGAGATTGCCTGTTTGGTTTTAAAAGAGAGATAAATGTGAGGTTAAAACCTCTTAATTATTTACAATCCTTTTTTTTCTTTGTGTTTTGTTTTGTTTGAAACCACCGTAATAATTTTGGGGTGTTGTTTTGATAAGTTTTACCTTCTTTTTTTACCAAAAGAACGTGATAGTTAATTTGTAGATCTTTTATCTTTCTTTTTTTTACTTAATTATTTTTTCTTTTCTCTAACTATGTAATAACAACTTGCTGAAAGTTACATAAACATGCAAAAGTAGAAACTTTTTTTAATAGTAAATTAAAATAATGACCAACATAAAGGAAGGATTTTTTTTTTGGACTAATACTCACATTACAATTAGTATACTGTATATATACATTATATTTTTCATTAATTAATTTTTTTTAGCAATAAAAATACTTGTATATATATTGTTTAATAAGTTACAAAAAATTAGGAAGACCAATAAGAGAATAGTCTGAGTTTAATGGCGTCAACTCGACTTATTATATATGTACACACACACATATATATATATATATGTAATTTTTTTAAAGCAATAAGGATTATTGAAACCTGTTTGTCAAATGTTCTGGTGACATAAGGCTTTAAACGATGGTCGTTCACTTTGAATTTGTTTTTCCCCATTCATGTATTGTATTTCACTGGCACCATAAGGGAATACTTCAGTTATGACGTACGGTCCAGTCCATCGTGTCTTAAACTTTCCTGGAAATAATCTCAATCGACTATTGTATAACGGAACACTATCTCCAACATTAAAGTTTTTATGGCGAATGAACTTGTCATGCCATTTTTTGTCTTTTCTTTGTACAATTTAACATTTTCATATGCTATAAGTCTGAACTCTTCCAACTCATCAAGCTGTAATAGACGATTTTTTCCTGCAACTGGCAAGTTTAGATTTAATAATTTTATAGCCCAATATGCTTTATGTTCCAACTCTACAGGTAAATGACAAGATTTTTTAAAAACTAGTCTATAAGAAGATGTGCCCATTGTAGTTTTGAAAGTAGTTCTGTAAGCCCACAAAGCGTCATCTAATTTTAGAGACCAGTCTTTTCGAGAAGAGCCAACAATTTTTTCTAAAATTCTTTTTAATTCTCTGTTGGATACTTCTACTTGTCCGCTTGTTTGAGCATGATATGGAGTTCCTATTTTATGAGTAACTCCATATCTTGACAACAAACTAGCAAATTGTCTATTTATAAAATGAGTTCCTTGATCACTTATGATAACTCATGGAGTCCCAAATCTAGAAAAGATATTTTTCTTGAAAAAATCGCAAACAACTCGAGCATCATTTTTTTAGTAGCAATTGCTACTACCCATTTTGAGACGTAATCAACAACTACCAAAATATATTCGTAACCATTTGAAGGAGGAAAAAGACCCATAAAGTCAATGCCCCAAACATCAAATATATTCACACACAATAATAGAGTTAAGAGACATCTCATCCCTTTTATGAAATGTTACCGGTTCTTTGACATTTGTCACAAGCGACAACAAATTTTTTTGCATCTTTGAACAAAGTAGGCCAGAAAAAACCAACTTCAAGTACTTTAGTTGTTGTCCTTCTTCCTCCGTAGTGTCAAGACCCTAAACCCGGACCCGATCGTGATGGCGCCTCTCATGAAGACAAGGCCAGCCGACACTACCCATTTCAGTATTTAACAGTTAAGCATTAAGAAATAGTCTAAGCATGATCAAATAAACCAAGGTTTAAGCAGTTAATAGCATAATTCGCGAAAAATAACCCAACACAGCCTGATACCGGGGTGTCACTAGTCATGAGCATCTAACAAAACGGAATACTCCAAATCAAACTACAGAGTTTAATATAGAAAACCAAGAACATGAAGAAGTAAGATAGGGAAGAGCTCCGGGCTGAGAACGCCAACAGCTACCTAGAGACTCCTCGGATCCGCCTGAGCCGGAAATGATCAGCACTCGGGAGCGGGACCAGATACGCCTAAATCTGCACACAAGGTACATGGAGTAAAGTGAGTGCTCCAACTCAGTGAGTAATAATCATAAATAAAGACTAAAAGCAGGAAATCACGTAAGGCACAAGGCATGCTATAATGAAGCAGTAAAACCCTTAAAAACAGTAAACCAGCGAAAGATAGGTAAACATCCTTTAACTCAAATTTAACTTCATGAAAACTCTTTTTCAACAATTAAGTAGGTAATTTGACATGCAAATAAGAAAGGATAAACACATAAAGGTTCGCCTCTCGGGCACCGTGTCAACAAATTCGCCCCTCGGGCAACATATCAGAACAATACCAGCTCCTCGGGCTCAATCTCACATCACAATGGGTACCCGCGCTCACTGGGGGTGTGCAGACTCCTGGAGGGGACCCTTACAACCCAAGAACAATATCAAGCCATCTCGTGGCATCATCACTAGGCTCTCGGCCTCATATCAATCAAGCCACCTCATGGCGTACATACCTCAGGCCCTCGCTCTCATAATCAATATCAAATATTTTCTCACAACATAGGCCCTCGGCCTTACTCAGTCAAAATCCTCACAAGCCACTCGGGCAATAGTAAAACATGATTCTCAGCCCAAAATATCATTTGAAAGATCATTTAAGTGATAAAACAGAGTAAACATGGCTGAGTACGAAAACAGTGAAATATAACATGATTGAGTTCAAGTGTAAAGTCAAAACAATAAGGAAATATCAATAACAGTCCCCTAAGGATTCAAATAGTTGGCACGTAGCCCAAATATGGCATTCAGCCCAAATAATGATGATAGCAAATAGGTTTCAGTCAAATACGCGGTAAAATAGTCATTCGGCACAGACTAAGTCATAATCCCAATCGTGCACGACCCCACGCTCGTCATCTAGCGTGTGCATCACTTCAATATAGCACAACAATGTGCAATCCGGGGTTTCATACCCTCATAACATCATTTACAATCATTACTCACCTCAATTCGGTCAATTCTCTAGCTCGTGATGCCTTTGCCCCTCAAATCGGCCTCCACTCGCGTTGATCTATCCAAAATCAAAATGAGGATGTCAAAATATGCTAAAGGAACGAAGCCCAAGCGAAAATAATCAATTTAGAACAAAAATTCCAAAATTACCAAAACCCGACCCCCAGGCCCACATCTCAGAATTCGATAATTTTTACATCAGTAAATTCCTTATCTCCCCACGAGTTCATACATATCAAAAGTTCTAAAATCCGACCTCAAATGGTCCTTCAAATCCTCAAGCAAAGGTCTAAGTTTCCAAGCCCTAGTTTCCCAAATTTTAGCCGTTAAATTCCATTAATTATAGCTCTAGTCCATGAAATAATAACATATGAACGAGTTTTAGGTCCAAATTCCTTACCTCAACGAAGTTCCCTTGAAATCCCTCTTCAAAATTGTCCAAAAAGCTCCCAAGTCGAATTAGAAATGGTGAAAATAGCTTAAAATCGCGAAGGACGCAATTTATACCTTCTGCCCAGGCATTTTTGCATATGCAGCCCTATTTACCGCTTCTGCGGTACCGCATTTGCGGTTCTTCATCCGCTTCTGTGGAAATCACTTAACTCCCCATTGTTCGTAGATGCGGTCCTCCTAACCGCTTCTATGGTCCTCCTAACCGCTTTTGCGATCCCTGCTCTTCAAGCCCCTTTTCGCTTCTGCGACCAATCACCCGCACATGCGGCGTCGCACTTGCGGTCCCCAATCCACAGGTGCGGAAATACCAGAAGCAGCAAAAATCTACAATTTCACCAAGTCTCAAACTCCTCCGTCAACCATCCGAAATCACCCCGAGGCCCCCGAGACCTCAACCAAAGGCATCAACATATCCCGAAAAATTATTCAAACTTGTACCAATCTTCCAAACACCTCAAACAACATCAAATCAATCAAAACACATCGGATTCAAGCCTAAGTTTCCAAAATCTTCCGAATTCCGCTTTTCACCAAAAACCCAACCAAACCACGCCCGAATGACCTGAAATTTTGTACACACATCCCAAATGACACAATGGAACTACTGCAACTCTCGAAATTCCATTCTGACCCCTATATAAAAATCTCACCTACCAACCAGAAATCGCCAAAAATCTATTTTCGCCAATTCAAGCCTAAATCTACTCCGGACCTCCAAAACTCATTCTGATCACGCTCCTAAATCCAAAATTACCTTCCGAAACTAACCAAACCATCGAAACTCACATTCGAGACCTCTAACACACAAGTCAACATCCGGTTGAGTTTTCCAACCTAAACTCACTCCAAAAAGACTGTCTCAAACCTTACCAAAATCATTCTGGATTCGATCCGACCAACCTGATACCACCTAACACTAATAAAAAAAGTATAACGAAGTGGAAATAGGGGAAACAGAGTGGTAACTCATAAGACGACTGTCCCGATCGTCACACGTAGTGTCCTCCTACCACTCCATCATGGTAGTGACTTAAAATATTGTTCATTTCTGTCTCAAGTGCACATCTCCTGATTATGTCATTTGCACAAAATTTAAACAAATAAGGATCTTCCCAGTAATAATGTCTTGCCTCTTTTTTAAGCTTTTTTCTTTGATCGTAAGAAAAATCTTTTGGAATCCACCCTCCTGCTAAATAGTTGGCAATATCAGCAATCTAAGGAGGTTTATTTATAACCGTCGTGACTAAAAAGATATTCTCATCAGGAAATTCCTCTTGGATATCTAGTATTTCAGTAGGTGGATTCTCTAAACGCGACAAATGATCAGCTACCTGATTTTTCTGAACCTTTTCTATCTTTTATTTCGAGATCAAATTCTCACAAAAGGAGTATCCATCTTAGCAATCTAGTTCTAGCATATTTCTTTGCTAATAGATACGTTAAGGTTGCATGATCGGTGAACACTGTAACCTTTGTTCCTATCAAATAAGAACAAAATTTGTCAAACGCAAATACTACTGCCAATAACTCTTTCTCAGTTATTGCATAATCATTTGAGCTTCATTGAGGGTTCTATGGGCTTAGTTAGGGGTG